ATTATTATTATTATATTCGGGGGGTAACCTTATAATGGATTTATAAAACATTTGTTGAAATAAGAAACCCCTAAAAAAGTTTCTAGAGAATTTTTGACCACATAACAGAAAAAGTGTGAAAAACCAAAAAAAAAAAAATTATCGTTCGTTCGTTTGTTTCTGGTAGCTATTTACAAAAGTAATTTAATAAATCGTGATTGTTTTGTTTTCGTTTAAAATTTGTATAATACTGAACAAAAAAAAGAAAAAAAGAAAAGGTGTATATTTTTTTAAGATTTTTTTTAAAAGTCTTTTCATCATAATAGTAAAATGAAGTAAAAACTAAAAAAAATTTTGCAACGAACTTTTGTAAATCTTTATTTTTTTTTTTTAAAAAAAAAGTTTTTACAGCTGCTTCTTACTAATATTTCATTTATTCAATAAATCTATTCAAAAAAAAAAAAAAAAAAAAAAAAAAAAAAAGATTCGACAAATTTGATAATAAATAATAATAAAAAAAAAAGAATTTTTTTTATTATGAATAGGTTAAAAGCTTAAAACGGTATAAACTTTTTTTTTATTTTCAAAGTGGGTAAACTTGATTTTAATTTTGCGAAAAAAAAAAAACAAACTACAAAAAACGGGTACAAAAGGTCGGCCTATTAAGGCAAACAACGATGGCGTCAAATGAATTTTTATAAAAAAATTAAAATTTTTTAATTATGTAATTTTTTTTAAACATAAGCTAAACGCGTCAAACGATTTAAAAAAAATTTTTTTACCGGTTTTTTTTTTTACGCAATTAGCAAAACGTACCGAAAAAAAAAAGAAAATGTCTTCTTCATTTTCGTGTACAAACAAACAAAAAGACATTAAAAATAAATTCGTTCTAATTGAAAATTCAGTCATTTAATACAGAAAAAAAAAAAAATGGATCTTTTTTTTTTTTTAAAAGTTTACATCTGCTTACTATACTATATATACATACAAACACTGTTTCATAATATAAGATGACGACGCCATTTGTAAAAAAATATTGCCAACTGTATAATAATTAACGTATCTTTAGAATGCGTTACTACCCGTGCATGCACAAAACGACAATGCTCACTTGTTTAGCTTATGACCCATAATTTTTGACTCAATTTTTTTTTTTTCTAAACGATTTTATTCAT